GCTGGCGTGTATCTTTCCATGGCTGTTCCCTATCAGAAAAGCTTATGGAAGACGTTCTGGTAACCTCAATGGCGAGGAGTTGAACCATTTGCTGAAACAGTTTAGTATGATTCATGGTCAGGACAGAGGAATGTTGGATTTGCAGTCATAAAAAGTGCAAGCCGCAAATGTTGAAAACCAGATAAGGCTCGTGCGCTGGCCGTTTTGGCAACCCCACGGGAAAAATGCCGATAATGCTTGACTTTTCCACGACACAACAATACATTGCCATAATGTCAACTTGCCTTCCAAGTCTTTACTATGCTAGCAATCATAATAAAATGACTTAATATATCAACCAACGGACCGTCAAATAAGCCATGTGTCATTTGCACGTTCATTTCACAACCTGGGCGTACAGAAAGAAGCCCAAGATATCACATTGAAATGGGTGTCAAGGATGGTGCTGCATATTGTCGTCCATCACAAGGCTTTACACACACAGTCAAGACGATTTGCACCTGCCTTAATGATAAGTTTCCTGCAGGTGGTCCTCACAATCCTGTTGTCGGTGTCGATATCTCGTGTTGGCTCATAGCTGCTCCTTTAAGCACAAGCCAGCTGTTCAACAATTCTTTATGGAAAGGAAGGTTCCAGTCACCCATGTTGTCAATTACGTTTTTAATCATGTTGATCTTTTGATAAGAAATGGATTTGGTGTCCTGCTAATATTTGATGGAGCTTCAAATCCAACAAAGAAGGCAACCAACAATGATAGGAGTTCAGTCGTAACAGATGCCAAAGAATGGATCGAATGGATGTATTCCAATCCCAACAAAACCAATCTTCAAAAACTTTCTAAGCTACAACAAACTGCAGTGGAAGTTCAAAAAGATGTCTTGGATATGGTTTTTGTCCGTCTGTACTTGTGAAAATTTCATGAAATTTCATGTGCGAAACAATTTGTCAGAATTTTTTATTAAATAGCTTCACGTTCTGTTTTTTGGCCTGGAGACAGACAGACGTATCAACACAGTTATCATAATTATACGAACGCCCTTTCTAAATGTTACACAGTCTATAACCACTAACACTACATTTCCGGGAATTAATTTCCCAAGACCAAACGGTTTTCGCGCCGTAGTTAGTCTACACGGGCCACGAATTTTGCGTGGTTTTCTTACGGCGCGACTCGTAGAAAGTGCGGACAACATAAAACTTTCTGGAATCGGTATTGGATACCTTTACCGATTAAAGTAATTGAGTACGATAGTGCAATGTTACAACATAATAATTCTCCATTGTTGATTTATTGATGATTTACTCAAATCACAGTCGATCTGCCTTCTTCTACGTTTTCATCCAACTCAGCTTCTTCATCGGTGTGACTATGACGACGAATACGTCCTATGGCCTCTATTTCAGCCTCTTCAATCAATTTCCGGAACTCATACGCGCGTGCAACACACAGGCCCCAAACCATCATTGGTAAAGCAACAGTGAACACCGCTACCGTCACATAGTCATCTCGAGTCAATGGTTCTTCGTCGTCATCTTCCGGTGAGGATTTTTCTTTGACAAACATGGAGTACACAAATATATTCCAAACATTCCATAAGACTCCAACAGCAGCAGTTCCAACAAAGTAAGCAGTAGCCAATCGTAGTGTATTTTCTGTCGTCGCTTTCATACCAAGCGTTGCAACATAAAATCCGAGTGCACTGACCAAAAGGTCGCAGTAGTCATAATTTTCCCATGGCCGTGATTGTGGTTGGTTGTCTTCGTCAGGGTGAGCTGTTGAGTTTCCTTGGTCCACATCATCATTGTGTGGTCCTTCTGTAGGTGTACCTAATGCGATTGATAGTAACACCAACAGTCGCATGCTACACACAACCAAAAGAAGTAGGCTCAACAGCTTGCAATTATTCTGAGCCTCTGCAATTTCCACGGATCCGAGAACTAGAATCTGACCGCGCCTCTCTTGTTCTTCTTCATCTAGGACTATCTGAGGAACGTGTGCACCAACAAGCATCGTCTTTTCTCTCGTATTGGATTCCTCTCCTGCGGATGAGGTCACCACCAGTCTCGGTTTTGGAAACTTCAGAAAAAAATTAGAATAATGAGGATGAGATGCAATAAACAAGCAGAATTGTGGCGGGAAAAAATTTCCGAAACAATATGTTGGGGAAGAAAAAGAACAAAGAAACAGGCAAGTCGTCAATGTGACATACCAAGTGAACGATGACACCATTTTCTTCAATCCCAGCTGCTTCAAGCGTCGTATCATCTTCGAGCATCCGACCTCGGAATACGAGGCGCTGAGATTGAGGATTGACTTTATGTATCTGTTGTGAAACCTCTTTTAACCGCTTAACTGTCCAACCAGGGGACACATCGACAGGAAAACGATTCTGTGCCGAGTCCAATATGATGATCTCAACGTACTCCACGTGTTCATCTTGGCTCTCATTTCCATTGCAATCGACTCCTTTTAGCGGATACAAAGGCTTTAGATTATTGTCTGTGTCGGTTCTGGCGCCCTCATTCAGTTGATTTGTTTCCGTAGACAGCGCATTATACATCACTCCATTGCGAGAAGACATTGTCAAGAATCACCAAAGAATAATGTTGATCACGGTGGACTGCTGCGCGGGCTTGTTCTAATGTCAGGCAGACAGACGAAACGACGGTTAGTCCACCAAATTGTAGTTGATGCTCGGAACTGTCGACCTTGCCTCGACCGCACATTGAGTCACCGTCTCTCCACTCGTCGAGAAGTTTCGTATATATAACGGAATCATTAATTGGTATTTATGCTACTTCTAGAGTATCCAACTGCCGGTGTAATACGGCTGTAGAGGCCAGGAACTAGGTTGCTTTGGTCAACAAAGTTTGAACTACATGGAGGCGTTCAATAGAGGAACGTTGCTCGCAAGTCGAAAGTGTCAAGGGACAATCGGCTCTCCCACGCAAGGTGGGGTGGAGAATATGTATGTGTTAGACTGGGGTACGTGTGGCTTGTGATGTACCGGTACCAGAATCACTTGGGTAAATATGTAGACAAGTAAGTCAGGGGGCTGCTGGGCGAGGAGTAGGGTGGGTCAGTTCCCACATCAATTGTCGCCTGCCTGCAAGAGATCGTCTGATTTTGCGGCGGGCTTCGGAGATGACGAGGACCCATTCCTCCTTGTCCGCCAGGTGGAGTCGGAGGACGTCTACAAGGCGGGATCGACGGATGGCAGGGCGAAGGTTCCGAGGTAGGTCGCGAAGACCCATGTCAAACTCTTCGTGGATGCGTCGATCGAGAGCAGTCGCGCGCTGTTGGTTGACGATGTTGTCGTCAGAATGAAAGACATCATTGCAATGCTTCCACATGTATATATAACTGATGCATTAATCGTATTAAAACTATCTCAAGTTTCTAGATTGCCATTAACGGCTGTCATGGCCATTTACCATACGGAGGTGAGTCCAGTACTGTTGAACCAGTGTGAGGCATCCAATCCCAAGGAAGTTGCTCTCATCGGATATTACATTGCACCCTTGCACATGTAGAAACGATCTTGCCACTCGGGGCGGCGTATTTTTATTTTGTTTTTTGAGTTTTTTGAAGGTGATGGTGGGCATGATTGTGTAGCAGGTGGGAAGCCAATTGTTCTTGCGCCCTAATGCCCTGGGCGTATCGATCCAAGTGAATGGAGAGCGTCCCAATGGCACAGTGTTCCAGAACAATGTGGCCACCATCTACATGACAGACTGCAGTTCCCTAGTCCTGTGGTCGACAGAGGGAGAGTGAAACATAGAGGGACAGAGAGATGGCCGATATATATAACTGAATCATTAATTGGTATTATGCTACTTCTAGAGTATCCAACTGCTGGTGTAATACGGCTGTAGAGGCCAGGAACTAGGTTGCTTTTGGTCAACAAAGTTTGAACCACGTGGAGGCGTTCAATAGAGGAACGTTGCTCGCAAGTCGAAAGTGTCAAGGGACAATCGGCTCTCCCACGCGAGGTGGGGTGGAGAATATGTATGTGTTAGACTGGGGTACGTGTGGCTTGTGATGTACCGGTACCAGAATCACTTTGGTAAATATGTAGACAAGTAAGTCAGGGGGCTGCTGGGCGAGGAGTAGGGTGGGTCAGTTCCCACATCAATCGTCGCCTGCCTGCAAGAGATTGTCATATTCCGAAAAAACACACAATTAAAAACCACACGCAAATCCGGGTTCCAAAACAGCACCTCTAGTACTTCTCCTACACGGAGCGGCCGTAGCGACGCCGAAAAAGAGGTTGTTTTCAACTGGAAAACAAAGGACCATATATATATATAACTGAATCATTAATTGGTATTATGCTACTTCTAGAGTATCCAACTGCCGGTGTAATACGGCTGTAGAGGCCAGGAACTAGGTTGCTTTTGGTCAACAAAGTTTGAACCACGTGGAGGCGTTCAAGAGAGGAACGTTGCTCGCAAGTCGAAAGTGTTAAGGGACGATCGGCTCTCCCACGCAAGGTGGGGTGGAGAATATGTATGTGTTAGACTGGGGTACGTGTGGCTTGTGATGTACCGGTACCAGAATCACTTTGGTAAATATGTAGACAAGTAAGTCAGGGGGCTGCTGGGCGAGGAGTAGGGTGGGTCAGTTCCCACATCAATCGTCGCCTGCCTGCAAGAGATTGTCATATTCCGAAAAAACACACAATTAAAAACCACACGCAAATCCGGGTTCCAAAACAGCACCTCTAGTACTTCTCCTACACGGAGCGGCCGTAGCGACGCCGAAAAAGAGGTTGTTTTCAACTGGAAAACAAAGGACCATATATATATATAACTGAATCATTAATTGGTATTATGCTACTTCTAGAGTATCCAACTGCCGGTGTAATACGGCTGTAGAGGCCAGGAACTAGGTTGCTTTTGGTCAACAAAGTTTGAACCACGTGGAGGCGTTCAAGAGAGGAACGTTGCTCGCAAGTCGAAAGTGTTAAGGGACGATCGGCTCTCCCACGCAAGGTGGGGTGGAGAATATGTATGTGTTAGACTGGGGTACGTGTGGCTTGTGATGTACCGGTACCAGAATCACTTTGGTAAATATGTAGACAAGTAAGTCAGGGGGCTGCTGGGCGAGGAGTAGGGTGGGTCAGTTCCCACATCAATCGTCGCCTGCCTGCAAGAGATTGTCATATTCCGAAAAAACACACAATTAAAAACCACACGCAAATCCGGGTTCCAAAACAGCACCTCTAGTACTTCTCCTACACGGAGCGGCCGTAGCGACGCCGAAAAAGAGGTTGTTTTCAACTGGAAAACAAAGGACCATATATATATATAACTGAATCATTAATTGGTATTATGCTACTTCTAGAGTATCCAACTGCCGGTGTAATACGGCTGTAGAGGCCAGGAACTAGGTTGCTTTTGGTCAACAAAGTTTGAACCACGTGGAGGCGTTCAAGAGAGGAACGTTGCTCGCAAGTCGAAAGTGTTAAGGGACGATCGGCTCTCCCACGCAAGGTGGGGTGGAGAATATGTATGTGTTAGACTGGGGTACGTGTGGCTTGTGATGTACCGGTACCAGAATCACTTTGGTAAATATGTAGACAAGTAAGTCAGGGGGCTGCTGGGCGAGGAGTAGGGTGGGTCAGTTCCCACATCAATCGTCGCCTGCCTGCAAGAGATTGTCATATTCCGAAAAAACACACAATTAAAAACCACACGCAAATCCGGGTTCCAAAACAGCACCTCTAGTACTTCTCCTACACGGAGCGGCCGTAGCGACGCCGAAAAAGAGGTTGTTTTCAACTGGAAAACAAAGGACCATATATATATATAACTGAATCATTAATTGGTATTATGCTACTTCTAGAGTATCCAACTGCCGGTGTAATACGGCTGTAGAGGCCAGGAACTAGGTTGCTTTTGGTCAACAAAGTTTGAACCACGTGGAGGCGTTCAAGAGAGGAACGTTGCTCGCAAGTCGAAAGTGTTAAGGGACGATCGGCTCTCCCACGCAAGGTGGGGTGGAGAATATGTATGTGTTAGACTGGGGTACGTGTGGCTTGTGATGTACCGGTACCAGAATCACTTTGGTAAATATGTAGACAAGTAAGTCAGGGGGCTGCTGGGCGAGGAGTAGGGTGGGTCAGTTCCCACATCAATCGTCGCCTGCCTGCAAGAGATTGTCATATTCCGAAAAAACACACAATTAAAAACCACACGCAAATCCGGGTTCCAAAACAGCACCTCTAGTACTTCTCCTACACGGAGCGGCCGTAGCGACGCCGAAAAAGAGGTTGTTTTCAACTGGAAAACAAAGGACCATATATATATATAACTGAATCATTAATTGGTATTATGCTACTTCTAGAGTATCCAACTGCCGGTGTAATACGGCTGTAGAGGCCAGGAACTAGGTTGCTTTTGGTCAACAAAGTTTGAACCACGTGGAGGCGTTCAAGAGAGGAACGTTGCTCGCAAGTCGAAAGTGTTAAGGGACGATCGGCTCTCCCACGCAAGGTGGGGTGGAGAATATGTATGTGTTAGACTGGGGTACGTGTGGCTTGTGATGTACCGGTACCAGAATCACTTTGGTAAATATGTAGACAAGTAAGTCAGGGGGCTGCTGGGCGTGACAGAATTGTATCAAGAACGACTTTCGTGACTCGGACCAATACGATTCGTACGTTAGCAGTCTTATGGGTCATAGTACTTAAAATAGTAAAATAGATATGATGACGTGTCGTCGGATGAGAACAGTTGGAACTTTGCGCATCAAGCGCATCAACTGTTTGTCAATTCCTGATGGACTCATCGTGTCGTGTTTTGTTTACCTTGAATTGATATCCTTATCTTCTAGTGGAAGCTCGAGCGTTCCCTCAAGAGTAATAATATTCTGTCAGATTAACAGTCACAGTTACGCACCATCTGTTGGAATTGCTCTCTTGGAGACCATTCATTGGAAACTCCTTGATCGAAGCAGTTCGACACGTCCGATCGGACAGACGGACAAATATCCGTTTGGTCCGTTTATTCGGGGGATTCCTATGAGTCGGTTTTGCAGCCCAGGGAATCCGCTCCGAAAACATGGAATTGTGCGCTTGGACTATCAAACATCTGAGCGCCACGAAAATCCCATACTGAATCCTGCGGGAGTTCGGTACTTGGGTTTTGGACAGGCCTTTCTGGATTGCAAACATCCAGTAAAGGTGTGGGAACTTGAGTTTTCGTGCAAGGCTTTTGCTTTGCCCATTCCATGTAGATAACAAGTCTTTTAGAATAGTTATTTCCTGTAGAGGTGATTATTTCCTATTAGACGGATCGGAGATCGCTATGGTTAGTGCCTATGCATGACGACTTGATGGGTCGCATGCTGGCACGGCTGCTTGTTGGGATATGACGAAATATGAGTTTTTACGTTCCAAAAGAAACTATTCAAGTACGAGGTTTTCGACACGTGCGATCGGACTTTGATCGTGCGTGATGTCGGGATTCGACGCAAGTATGCCGGACGCAAGTCTGTCGGACAATCTATATCCACACAAACAGGAAAAGATCCTGTACAAGTGGAATATTGATGTTGTGTACGATGCAGTAGGGAATA